ATAAAAATGAGTTTCGAATGGCATGGAATTAAAGTATAATGAGACGAAAGAGGTATGTAGCTGAAACATTATTTTATTTAGAGGGGATGCCTCTTTCTTTGCGGAATGACTAGCAAAACAATTCTTTCGCGTGTCGCCGGAATTGTATCGTTACTGCTACTTTTCAACTTTGAGGAAACCTTCGTGTCAGAGCCAACTGTATAATTCTGAAACTTTAAACAGTATTAAGAAGCATTTAAATTTTCAATTTGAAACAATGCAAACCTCGATACCAATATTCTTAAACGTAAATGTTATTAAATGTTAAATCTAATAAAGTTAGAAGCAAGAAACGAAAGTTCGTTCAATCGTTCGTTTCTATCAGGTTTTTCGAGTAGCTCGTATTAACGAGAAGTTTCGACGCCGGCGTGCAATAACGCGTTATTTTCTGGTATTGTTTGGGTAACCATGTTCGATTTAATTTTACATCCGAGTGGCTCGGAATTAAAGTGAGCGCCGCGCAAACCGGGATTCTACTTTGAACGAGCGATAAACAAGCTGTGCAGAAAGCGATCATTGTCCGTCGCAGTAACGGGTAATGGGCATTGTTAGGCATTAAACGCGGAATTGAACGATCTTTATAAATAGCCTCGATTCAATTTTCAACTTTATATCGATGGACAATCGACAAGCTTTGCCAGAAACTGTTGAGATTCTTCCTCGAAACAAACATGCATTCATCGTTACTTAAAAATTAATTTCCACGAATATTGGTCTTCACAGTCGTTAGAAAACACTCGTAGCCTTTTGAGGGGGGCAGTGATACCCCATTGAGCTAATTTCAAAGGTGTAAGAATATTTTTCAAATTAGAAATTCACTCCCACTGGGGGCTCAGAAATTTAATTAAAATCGAATCGTATGCTTAAAAATTAATATCCAAGGATATTGGTCTTCAGAGTCGTTAGAAAACACTCGTAGCCTTTTGAGGGGGGCAGTGGTACCCCATTGAGCTAATTTCAAAGGTGCAAAAATATTTTTCAAATTAGAAAATCACTCCCACTGGGGGCTCAGAGATTTAATTAAAATCGAATCGTATACTTAAAAATTAATATCCATGGATATTGGTCTTCACAATCGCCATTAGAAAACACTTATAGCCTTTTGGGGGGCAGTGGTACCCCATTGAACCAAAATTTCAAAGGTGCAAAAATACTTTTCAAACCTGAGAATCACTCTCACGAGAGCTCAGAAATTTAATTAAAATCGAATCGTAAAAATCGAGAAAATAAAGATAAGTAACCTCTGTTAATTTTTTTTCACACACGGGGGGAACCGCAGTGGGCGGAGTGGGAGGTCGCGTAATTTTCCAGAAAATTGTGGCCGCGTAGGTAAATCTCGCGTCCTTTATTTGCTCGGTACTGCAACGAGGGGTTTTTTTCCCCCCTCCCCTTGGCGTCGCGGTGGAATTTATGCGCGCCAGCGTCGTTGATAACAATGTTGCAGTATAATACGCGAGTCGTCCTCTCGCGTGGCGTGGGAAAACCAGTTCGAGTCGATTCCACGGACACCGGCACGCACATCCCCGTCGATCTAAGACGAATTTAACTCGATCAAATTACCCCCTCCACTCGTCGAGCAGTCGAAATTGCTAATTACCGATCGAATTACACAGAGAGAAAAGGAATTCCGGAGGCGTCCGGTACTTGTTGCTTCGATTTGCTTTTTCGTCGAACCGGAGTTTCCAGGCTCCGTTGGAACACGTCTGTAAAGCTTGTTTCGGCGGAGAGAGACTCTCCAGGCTGCTTTTTCTCTTTTCGAGAACTTAGTTCGCCTCTCACCGACGAAGACTCTTCGACGATTCGAGTTTGGGGGTGTTATCGGGATCGAAGATCCTTTTTTCACTTAAATTTCAAGCTCAACTTCCCTCGCGCGATGCAGATTACGAAAAGAAAAATTCTACCAGCGATCGTTCGCCCAGAGTCTCTGGCAAACTCGTTCCGCGAAGCGAAACTCTCCCCAAGGTTGTTTTCTCCTATTTTGGAGAACTCTTTGCGCTCTTCCAGAAGTCAGGGTACGGTTGTTTTCTTCAAAATCTGCGCGAATTACGTAGTTCTAACGGGAAAACTGTCCGCAGCGTTGCATAAGGATAAATTCTCACGTTGATTCCATAAGTTTTACGGGGATCGAGGATTGATCGCGTGATGGCGTGTCTCGTCGATCGTGGTTGCTTCTTTGCGTAAATGATAGTTTTAACTTAATACGAGCTGGTCTGCTGGCTGTTGGTGATTTCAAATTAGGTAGAGTGAAGTTTCATCCCGATGTTAGTTTCATTTGGATTCCCCTTTAATGGCACAGGATGCTTCCCAGATTTTTACCCCTGTTCCAAGGCAATGTTTAGACTTTTATCCAGATTGAAAATCCATCCGTTCCCCCATAGCGTTTTCCCAACAATTAATACCATAGTCAGAGTTTGAAACGAGAGTTCTCATATTTTAGAAACGATTCCAAAGTTTACAATTAATAACGATCGAAAAATGACGATATTCTGCTAATCAGGTCGATGTCGTTAGCTTCGTTATCGGACACTAAACCGATTCATTTGCAGGCGTGTACGGTGATCCTGTTGGCGCAGCTGCCGCTGTTTGCTCGTCCCTGTGAAATTAAAAGCAGACAATCCCACGATAAAGCGACGGAAATAAATTTTAAACATCCCTGTACCAAAGAATGGTCCGGTGGATATTCAATTAATAGGATTTCGCGTTGCTTTATTAGCGGATTTCGGTCTTTTCAACGACGTTATCGGAGATCGATAGCACTCCAGTACTTTGGGATCAATATAATTATATTAATCGATGTTTATAACATTTTCTTCACGCTCTACAAAAGGCTACCCCTCGAAATTCATTATATTTAACCTTTTGCACTATTTTGTCGAGTTCGAAATTTTTCCAAGCCCAAACCAAAGAGATACAACAACACTGTAAATAAAACAGATATTTAATTGAATCTGCTCGTTTAAATTGCCCAATATTTTAGTCAACATAATTTTCCTGCTGGTAACAAAATTTAAATATAATTCGGAGTGCAAGGGGTTAAAATCTTTTCCCTCGTAGCGTGCAATATTTATTCTTAAGATCTCCGGAGCGAGCCTTTGACTTTAAAATTATTTGAAAGTTACGAGACGAATAATTTCGGGGAATATTGTGACTCGAATGGAAACGAGGGGGGAACGGGCTGTCGAAGTTTCGTTTATCGCGTCGAAATTCGGAGGCGTTAATTATCTTATCGGCGACCCCGGGGTTCCAGGAGGGTCCATCGCGGCTGGAGATTAAGCTCGGTTCACGGAGGCGAGCCACGGCCGAGGAAAGGTACGACGACCTTCGAAAAAGGTTCAACGGACTCCCCGGCTGGCGAGCATAACGGAAGCCAGGCCACGGATTTCGAGTAGAACGACCCTGAACGCGCGCATGCGACATGCACCGCGGACTTGCTTCGACTAATTTCTGTTTTTGACGATTCCCCTCCAGACTATTAACCAACTTATTGCTTCCTGTTCGCCGCGCCATTTCCTCCCCGCAGAGTTCTCCTAAAGAAATAAAACCTCTTTCGTATCCTGTTTCCACAGACCATCGTTCGTTTTTAACCCTGAATTTTTTATGCAACGTTCGGTGTACCACTCTCAGATTAAACGCGAATTTTCAGTGTGAAATACATTACGTAATATACTTTTGTTAGTGTCAGTACTGTAATTGGGTTGAATTTTTCAAATAGTAAACCTAAGTCTGTTAGAAAAAATTTAGTCCTCCAATCGAGAGCTCTGAATATTCTTCTGAAAGATTGCAAACTGATAGTAAGTGTGTTTTTATTATACGAACTGTTTCACCCCCGTTGAGTTGGCGAGAAAATGCATCGTGGAATGATCTCTACCAGTGTGGGGGAGGGGGGTAAAAAATGTCGAAATTGTCAACTATCACGGACGCAGAATTTATTAAACTGAGTCCTCCAATCGAGATCTCCGATTATTCTTCTAAAAGATTGCAAACTGATAGTAAGTGTGTTTTTTATTATACGAACTGTGCCCCCCCCCCATTTCACTGGCGTTGAGTTGGCGAGAAAATACAACGTGGAATGATCTCTACCAGTGGGGGAGAGGGGGGTAAAAAATGTCGAAATTACTTTATCGCCCTGTCGAACGTCGTCGATCGTCGAGCGAGGGTGGTCTGTGGGGGGTGGAACGGACGTAGACGAGATTGACTGGCGAATGAAAACGTGGGATTGGAATCGTCGGTTTGCGGTATAACCGGTTGACAATGAAATCGAACCACCGTAAACGGACTAATTGCAGGCACAATAATTATTCCGCGTACGAGGGCCTCGCGAGGGAGGGGGGTTGGCGTGGCCGTATCGTCTGTCCGCGTTCACGGATTACGAATCGATCGGCTCCTGGTTCCGTTATTAACCCCCGCGACTGCAGGAGACCCCGACGTGTTTACGGATCGACAGATAACGTCGAAAATTTATAGTCGCGCGTGCAACGCACCGCAGACTCTTCGGGGACCGTCGCGGCGGGGGCGGATCGAAATTTTCGAACGTTTCGGGCGCGATGGATTTCGCGGAATTGGAGTTTCGATCGCCGTGAGAGTTCGTTGAACCTGATGGAAACGATGAAATTATGGGCGCTCGACACCAGTCGCGAATAAAATGTTGTAACGAGAGTTGTAATTTTTATTTCGTTATATCTTTTAGAGAGTATTATCGATGAATTGCTGGGGTTCCCCCGGTGAAAATGAGTCCAAACACGACCCCCTTCAGAACACTTTTAAATATTGTATAGTTTGTACATTTAAAAAATGACCCGAATTTTGGGTGACCAGGATGTGTCGGAATTAGGTCGTGTTTGGACTCATTTTCATCGGGGAAATCTCGCCGTTCCATTTATGATACTCGAAATCAAGATAATTTGTCTCTCGATCATAAGTACTGTTCGATCGACGAATGACGATGTTTTTCTGATTTATAGGGCGGTCACGGATCCAAGGGACGGTAGGAGAGTGGCTTTGAAGAAACTGCCAAACGTCTTTCAGAGTCTCGTGAGCAGCAAACGAGTCTTCAGGGAGCTGAAGATGCTCTGCTTCTTCAAACACGAAAACGTGAGTGCACATCCGCCTGAGAACAATTTCTAACAGTATTTGCTGGCGTTGTACGTACTAATTAACGAAACAGATCCGCTTTAAATATTCGATATTACGTTTTGGCCAGCTTAATATACGAGAGGAGGCGAATATAAAGATGTCTGGAGGAATTTCGTCGCGTCCCCCGATTTTCCATAACTCGCTTATCTACGCCAAAAGGAAAATATAGCGTTTTGTTTTACGAGTGGCTGTTCCATTCGTACATTATAACGCCATCGAATTTTTCGCTCGACTGTAAATTTCGTTACGTACGCGATAATACGCGCGAAACTGGTCCAACAACGAATATTAAAACGCATCGATTAACGGGCACAAAAATATAATTTTTCCGATAATTAGATATTTTACCCGTAAAATGAAAATTCACGGTTGTTTGGCAACTATCGGAGACCGTTGGACAACTCGGAAACAAAGGGAAACGATATCGAAAGGATTGTTTCTTCGAAATTATTGCTCAAAATACACCGAGTTTATACCAGACGAAGAAAAATGAAAATGATCTTTCTAACAGCGATGATCCCTGTTTCTCAGGTCCTCTCGGCCTTGGACATCCTGCAGCCACCGCACCTGGACTTCTTCCAAGAAATGTATCCTTTTCTAACACGCACCAGCGACGAACTCCGAAAAGGTTTGTCGTTAAAGGAGAAAATCTGAAAACGCTGATTCTTTTACGGCTCGAATTTCCAGGGCGCAAGGGGGCGTAAAACCGCCGGGGTAAAGAGTTTTACTTCGTTTCGGTGGAAAAGAGGGAACGAATTTGGGGAACCATCGTTCCTCAGCATGGACGCTTCGAAAAAATAATTTTTCACCAGATTAACAGCGTTGGAAATGATAAAATAGCTCGAACAACGAAATTAACTAACACGTGTTCTTAGAAGAATTATTCTCCGTTTGTCAAAGTCAACGATCTTGGCGCGTTCACGTGGTCGTTGGTTGTTTCCGGCGCGCCCCCACTTCCTCTTTTATTTCCCCATTCACGCGGAAGCCGGCTCACGCAATGCTCGTTGGCCATCTCAAACGACGCGGAAACTTTTAATCGGGCCAGCTTCGTTGCAGCCAGCAATTAAACCGTGGAAGGGAGGAGACGCGATCGAGAACCGACCCAGGACTCCATTGAACCTCCGCCCTCGGCGTAAAAAAAAAAAACCCATCCCCGGTGAACGATTGCCATTCGGTAAACCGACGTTTTCCGTTTTCTCCTCCGACCCTGTTGTTCCCTTTCTATTTTTTCTCTCTTCCGGAGGAAGACGTCTCCTTCCTTCCGCCTTTTACACCAGATAGGAACGATAATAATCGCGGTCTTTATCGGGGAAAGAATGATTCTGGTCGGTTCGAGGACCGCGAAGACTATTACGGGGTGTCTGGTTACGATTTTGTTCAAACAACGATGAGAAGAGCACTAAGTTTCTTTAAATATCCATCTATTCGTCACCGATCTTTTAATCCTTAACTGGACTCTCGTTCTCTACTGAATTATATTACTTAACACTAGATTTACGGAAGCCGTCAATTTGACGGATGTCTGATTCAAATATTATTTTTTAACAATTTATGTTGAATTTGATTGATGCACTGTCATGAATACATATTCTAATTAAAAGAAAAATCGTATTGTAAGGTAATCGTCAACATGAAAGGTATCAATAAATATACGTGTGATCAATGCCCGTAAATCTAGTGTTAATGTTGATTTTTACCAAATTGGTAAATGGAAATCAATTTTAAAGCATTTAACAAATAATGAGCTAATGATTACATTGACATATATCAAGCTGTTATTAGTTTAAACTTGCCCCAATAATCTACTTAAGCTTCAAGAGAGACTAAGGCTAGTTTCTAGTGTCTGGGGCTAACGAAATTGCTCTCGAACAAATACCGAATCGACGATAAATCCGTCCCCGGAAAAGTTGGAAAATTTCTGACAGGGCCAGTCCAGGCTGCCAGTGGCCGGGAAGGTCCCGTCGTCCCTTCTCGAAATGAAATTAAAGCCTGAAGTTCGGTCTGGACACGTGTGCTAGAAGCTAACCTAATAAATCTCGAGGCACCGTTCTCGCGTTACGAACGCCGGAAGATCAATAACGCCCGAGTGAAACCTCCATCGTGTTCCGCGTTGGGGAAAAACCGCCGTGGAAAATCGGGCCTTAATTTAGAGCCAAACTACCCTCGGTGTCCACCATTCTCTGAACGAACTCTCGCGGGAATCGATCCACAGAAATATACCGTCCTATCCAAGTACAGTTTTCTCCAGAAAGTAATAAAAAAAAAAATTCTTTTCGGGAAGATCGTCGAGGCCACACGTTGGACTTTTTAAATACCAGGTGGTGTCTCTGATAGTTCTTATCAGAGTCGATTATTTTTGGCGTTCACAAATCGAGTTCACGCTCGTGACCTCCGCGATTTCGTAACGATCGCGTAACGAAAACACACCAGTGGCATCGTCGGGAACAAACAGCGGTTCCACGTAACCGGCTCGACTCGGGTTTACGTAAGACCCCCGGCTCGCGAGAGGAAGTCTCTCCTTTCTCAGCTTCACGGGACTTAAGGGAGACACGGACGAGATTTTGGAACCGTTCCTGTATCTCCATCCTACGGATCTCGTCCAAAGAGGATCTGCAGACCGTGCAACGAAACGCGTACGACTACTTTTTAGCCATCGAGCGCGGAGTCAACGTTCCCGGAATCTTTTGGGAGCTTGGAAAAATTTCAGAAAATATTTCGAAATCCCCCCCCCCCATCAAAAAGGAAGCGTTAAAACAGACTGGAACATTACAAAAACTGTTTTTATTCGTGTATTTTTTATTCAGATCTTTGGTGACCCGTGTTGCCCATTTATTTGTCCCAACTTTTCACGGGTGTTCCTCGACATCTTTGATTTCTTCTTAATCTGTGGGATTCTGGACGCCACGGAGGAAGAACAGTGGCCGCGCGTCGCGTAGGTAGGCGCCGTCCAAAGTGGCCGAATGATCGATCGATCGATCAACGAGAAACCGATGGTCGATCCTCCTTGAGCGAACGGGATCCAGTGGACCAGCAACGAGAGTTAATCTCGATGAAGGCAGCTCGATAAATCAGCTCTCTCTCCATTCTCTTCCCCTTGTCCTCTACCGTTTCTTACCTTCTTGCCAATGTTTTCCGAACAAATAGAAATTATCCTGCTCTTTTCTTCCGTTACGCTTAATTCATCTACAAGGATAACCTTTTAACTTCCTCTTCCTTTCTAGGCCATCGTTTCTTCTATTCTCTCATTTTTTATTCCGGGTCGAACCTCGCGTGGAAAATGTAGAATATTTCTCATTTCGAAAACTTTTAAGATACTCTTGGAATAGACGTCCGCCCAATACTCGTTACTTCTACTTGCAAGCATTTAAATAATTATAATATCACATTTAATCTAATTAGAAGACACTAGAATACAAAACTAAATTCAAAGTTCTAGTTCTAAAATTCTAGTTCAATTCACTCGTCTGTCCATAACTCACCAAATCCCCTTCTTTCCAATATTCGTTGTTTCTACTTGCAAGCCCTAAAAACAATTGTAATATCCTCTGTTTTAATCGTTTACCTCTAATTAGAAGACACTAAAATACAATCCTAAATCGAAAGGGTACAAATTTCCTTGAAAGAAGTTTTATTCTCTTCCAATTTAATTCACTCGTCTGTCCATAACACACCGATTCTACTTACCATTTCCAGCTACCCACAAGCCTTACAGTCTCTTTCAACTATTTTTAATCAAACAATAGATAATGAACCGCACAGAGAATACATATTGCCGTCAGTATTTAAAAAGCAAGTAGAAACAGTCGATATTGGTCAGACTCGTGCCCCAAGAGTTTTCCAGGCCGATTTCCTCGGGAACGAGGACCGTTGTCGGGGAATGTTACAGCACGTTTTCGATTCCCTTTTGCCCAAGGTGCACGATCGCGCCACCAATCTTCGTCCAGCCCTGTACAGAGCTCGCAACTATGTAAATCATTGTCAGCGGCGGCGACTATCACGGGGCTCGCGGGTGTCTGCGTTCGTTTTCTTCTTTCCTCTCTGTCCCATGGCGCCTGTTCGTCCTCGTCCTCGTCCTCGTCCCTTTACCAGTTTCCCCGTCCCCCGTGGACGTCTCGTCATCGTTCTCGTCGACGTCCCTGAGATTATGTCGTGTACACGAGCCGTCCAGTGGCGCATGCACCGCCGCGACGCTGATGAGACACGACGCGATAGCTCGATTTACGGTTACCAGTTTCTTCTTAGTCTGGACCACCTGTTTCACGGTACGCGCACCTGATCGATTCGGGAGCTACGTTTACCTCGTCCACGTCCATCGTGCTGCACCGACGACTGCAATCGTTTCTTTTTATTAATCCCACCTGCGAGTCTTATATCACAGTCGAGACATTTTATTCTCCACGAGTATCGTACACGCGTGAAACTTTAAACAAAATTGAATCGTTTGTTCGAAAGAGGTTCCATATTTTTGGCGATTCATTTCCAAACGCTGGAACACGCTTTTTCTCGTCAAAATGTTCGTCGAATCCCTCGGTGATCTTCCGGTTCACCTTCGAACCGCGAGTAAACAAAGAATCCGGCAGCATCGTCGAAAGCTTCGACGCAATTAATTCTATTACCCGTCCGAGGGGCTCTGTTTGCGTACGGATCGATTCTAATTTCATCTCCATGGAAAATTCACCGTCCTTCGTCATTCAAGAAACTTCAGACGGGGAAGTTGAACTTCGCTGAAAGCGACTACCTAATTTCTAATTAAAGAGCTCGACTAACCACCGTCTCGTAGACGATACGTTAACGAGATTACCCGTTGATATAGTGGCGTTAAATCTTTCATTATTCGAAGCATGAAAGAGAGACCCCTTACCCGTGATTTTTTCCTGTTAATGTATGTATCAATTTTAGGAATCGAGCTTAGCGTAAAATTGACAAAAATACGAACGATCGAATAAAGTTTATAAAGTTCATCGAACTTCCGCACACGGTTGATCGTTCGAGATGCTTAGCAAAAGATTGAAACGGGTCGAAACTTAGTTTCTGGATCGCAGAACCGATTTACTTGCAGGGTAGTGGAGTTCGATCGGGTCCTATCGGATCCTCGCCACGGGGCTCTCGATCTCATCTGCATAAATGGAAAATCCGATGGCGCGTCTGGCTCCCTCGCCGGGAATCCCCGAGCTGCGGGTCCTCCGCGAAGACGGCTCCGAATTTCTGATTAAGGGCTGGCTTGATTGGATGAATACATATCGAGGGGAACCGTCGTTTGCGGAAGACAAATATGAATTAGTGATTTCACGCTCGCGGGGCTGCAGCTGATTTAACCGGAGGTAACGATGTTTATGTTAAGCTACTCTGCGCGTCCTGATGGATAGTTACCAGGGATATTCGATACCAATTCCTCCCACCGCCGAGCTAAGAATTCTCTTCGGGGAGTATTTCATTTTTTACGAAATTACGCGTGATTTTGCATCCTTTTTCCAATATAGGCTAGCTCAAACAGTGTGGTAATTAAATAAACTTAATATTATATAATATTTTACTTCATTTATACGTTCCTAGTCAATAGGAATTGCTAAAATTTCTTTAGGAATAC